ATTAGTTCATTTATTTCATTTATTTAATTATTCATTATTAATTAATTCATTCATTGGTTCATTCTTCATTTATTCAGCTATTCATTCATTCATTATTCATTAGTTCATTATTCATTAGCTCATTCATTCAGCCATTCATTTAATAATTTTAATTTTAATTTTTTGAGAGATTGAGACCATAAACTCATGTTTACAATGTTTACTGAGGTAATAAATCAAGAGAGAAGTAGAGTCATTTTCTCATAGACTTCTATACAACCAGAGGAGTCGCCCCCTGGTGGACACTAGAGAGAATGCAGCTTTAACACATGAAGTTATTATGGAGTTCTGGTTATAAATCGTCGTGACTTCTGGAAACATTCTGTTTGATCTGGAACAGGAAGTCTGTCTGTAAATATTTATGTTTACATGTTATGTGTTAATCCTGTTTACTTGACTGTGATTGGCCGGTGTGTGTCGTCAGGTGACTCGTAACGTGATGCGGGCCAGCCTCCCTCTGCCTCCAGGAGACATCTACAACCTGACGGTGACGGCCTGTACAGAACGCAGCAGGAACACCTCTATACCCACCATCATCAAGCTGGGTCAGTACACACACACACACACACACACACAGAGACAGACACGCACACACACACACACACACAGACATGCACACACACACACACACACACACACACAGAGACAGACACGCACACACACTAACACACACACACTTTTCATTGTGTTGGATCTGGCGCCCCCTGTGGACTAAAGTGGTCGTGTTTCACCAGAGTCCCTTTAGAAAACCTCTCATTTCACTGCAGCAGGTTCTGACAGTCTGACCCTCTCAGTCCTGGTCCTGGACTTCCAGAACACATGTATTGCTAGTTTAGCTTCACACGTCGGCCATCATTAAATCCTGTGACACCACAAACGATCCAGAGTCCAGAGTCCTCATTGTCGTTGTTGTCTGGTCCTCAGGGGTTGATGGACAGCTTTCACATCAGACAGGTTTATTTTAAACAGGTTAGTTATGAACAAGAAGCCTCATAAACACAGTGAGTCAGGTGATCAATAGAAGCTTTGACTGAACATGAACAGATCTAGATCACTTGATGATTTAATACCACAGTCCCTTCATCATGATTGTAACTGGTCAGCATGGGCTCAGAGTCTTCATCCTTCACCCTGAAAGTGAATATGAAACCTCATGTGTTCCACTTCCTCTTCTGGGCGTGTCGCTGCGTTTACTTCTGTAAACGTCTCTCACCCTCTTCGTACCAGCTCTCATGGGCTCTTGTGTTTCTTTCTGGCTGCAGAGCCGGCTGCTCCGAGGTCTGTGTACGCCGTGAACGCCACCCACTCCTCAGTGACTCTGCTGTGGACCGAGGACGGCGTGGTGGACTACTACCAGGTCCTCTGTAGGGCCAACAGACCCGGCAAGGAGCTGAAGGTAAAACCACCTCATGAGATCTCCACTAAACACAGACGTTAACGCGTCAGACCTAACCCTGTTCTTTCTTCTTCATGTCTTCATGTTTTCAGAGGAAATCTGCAGAATTCATTTTTTTAATTCTCACGTTATTTTCTTTGAGACGTTAAATCAATTCAACGAAACTGTGACAGAAAATATATCAGAACAAATATATCAAAGTGATTGAGAGGTGATGTAGAGAAATACATAAATACAGTCAAATATAATAATAATACCCTTTTATGTATTCATAGTAAGAATAATAAGACAGTTTGAATCACGCTGAGTAGAAATATAAAGATTTATAATATTAAATCTGATTGAAGTGTCAGAGTATCAGCAGGATGCTACCCTTCATTCATTCATTCATTGTAAGAACAATAAGACAATAGAAACAGTAAACAGTTTGATTTATAAGATTAAATCTGAATAAAAAGACAAGTTTAAAAAATAAAAGAGTTGCTGTCAGAGTATCAGTATTTATTTATCTACTTATTGTCAGTATCATTAGGATGCTACCCTTTATTTATTTATGTTTGTTTGTTTATTGTAAGAACAATAAGACAATAGAAACAGTAAACAGTTTGATTTATAAGATTTCAATCTGAATAAAAACACAAATAAAACAAATAGAATAGATTGTTGGTTTAATAATAAAAGTGTTTCTGAGGCTGTTTGATGTTTCATCTCAGTGATTATTAAATAATAATATTACCATGTGGTTAACAAGGACGTCTCTGCTGTCTCGTTTGTCTTCGTCTCTGGTGGTCTCTGGTGGTCTCTGGTGGTCTCCTTCAGACTCGCGAGCCTCAGACCTCCAGCCATCACGTGGTCACGGTCTCCGGTCTGACGCCCTCGTCCTCCTACAACTGCTCCGTCACCAGCTTCAGCTACAGCACCGCCAGCAAGCCGGCCCACATCACCATCAGCACCGCCGGTCCGTTCATCGTCTTTATTTAATCCTGAAAACACCTTAAAGTTCACTGTGATGAGCTCCACTCACTGAGTTTAAGGTGTTTTAGCTTTAAGGGGTTTTGCTTTACGTCATTTTTAGATTTAAGGAATCCACTTACGGCACAAGTTCAGGGATTCACCCAAAAGTTTGGGTTATTATTGGATAAAGTAATTATTTATTTTAATGTATTAATTACACAGTTTAAGAGATGAATTAAGGTGTAAAAATTTAGCAATTGTCCCTTTATTTTTATTTTAGTGGAAAAAATGTCTTTGTTAATATATCCTTTAGTCGTATTTAAAATACCTTCATTATATTATTTTAATGGGTGAATTATTGGAACTTTAATGTGAAAATATTAACGAATTCAGTTTCATAGATTTTTTAAATCTCTACCAAGCTGCTGTGAGTAAAACTCAACACTTCCTGCAGGTGTTTCACATTAAAAGCCTGTTTAGAAAGGGAGGTGTTGTGTCCTTTGAACAGCTGGAAGGCTTTTATTGTGAAAGTATTACATTTCATTGATAGTAGCCTAACATGTAGAAGTGATATAAATCTATGGAGTTAGAGCTGTGGAAATGATCTTTATACTGAATTTATTAAGACAACAAGTAAACAAGATAATTATGAATAAAGGTTTGTCTTTTTAATATGAGGTTATTGTTGTTGTTGTTGTTGTTGTTGTTGTTGTTGTTTGTGTCTGCAGCTAAAGAGATGAACCCGACCGTAGCCGCCATCTCGGCTCTGGCCGTCCTCAGCATCCTCCTCATCAGCCTGCTGATTCTGTTCCTGCTGGTTCTCCGAAAGAAGCACCTGCAGATGACCAGGTACTCAAACACCTTCATCACGATCATAATCATCATCAGGAATGTGGTTTATGGGGACTGAGAATCACTGAGAATGTGGTTCATGGGGACCCAGAATGTGGTTTATGGGGACTGAGAATGTGGTTTATGGGGACTCAGAATGTGTTTAATAGTTTCAACAGAGCTATTTTCAACTAAAACATGTTGGTATGAACACTGTTGGACTGTTATATCTTTCAGGAACAACTTCCTAGTTCTTAAAATATAAAAAAAATTCTGTGACACAGAAACGACTTCCTCTTGTTGTGAAAATAACCACCATGAATAACTTCTACATTATTGATCTGAGTGTTAACACCCAGCAGTGTTTTATCACTATTATATAAATCTACATGTTAGTGTGACAGTGACGAAAACATCTGGCTCTCAATGTATGTCTTCATCAAAACATCTGGAGGTATTTAAAGAGGCTGTTAGCAGATTAGAGCATATGGGCAGGATTTATGGTGGATTTATTTGCTTTAGTCCTTCTGTTATATGGTGAATGTGTTTTATGGGGACTGAGAATGTGTTTTATGGGGACGTAAAATGTGGTTCATGGGGACTGAGAATGTGTTTTATGGGGACGTAAAATGTGGTTCATGGGGACTGAGAATGTGGTTTATGGGGACGTAAAATGTGGTTTATGGGGACGTAAAATGTGGTTTATAGGGACTGAGAATGTGTTTTAAGGGGACTGAGAATGTGTTTTATGGGGACGTAAAATGTGGTTTATAGGGACTGAGAATGTTTTATGTGGACTTAGAATGTGTTTTATGGGGACTGAGAATGTGTTTTATGGGGACTGAGAATGTTTTATGGGGAATGGGAATGTGGTTCGTGGGGAATGACAATGTGTTTTATGGGGACTGAGAATGTTTTATGTGGACTGAGAATATGTTTTATGGGGACTGAGAATGTGGTTTATGGGGACTAAGAATGTGTTTTATTGGGACTCAGAATGCGGTTTATGGGGACTTAGAACACCTAACTATCAAATAGTTCAAAAATATTTTAGCAAATTATTTTCAACACAATTCTGAAACTGTTATCGTCCCTTTTTATATATATATATATATATATATATCAGTTTCCAGTTATTTTCACCACAGCTCACTTCCTCTATTTGCTGCTCAGTCATCAAATATTTCTGACTTCCTCAAACTGTTTGTCGGTGTTTTCTGTTTCAGAGAGTGCGGCGCCGAGACTTTTGTAAATTTCGCTTCGTTTGAAAGAGACGGGAAGCTTCCTTATAACTGGTAGGATCCTCCTCCTCTTGTTTGTCATCTTCAAATCACTGTGACATGTTTAGACCACATCTTTAAATCAGAAATGATGGAGCACCTCACAGTCCTGAGACCTGGTTTTGAGATCCAGTCCGCCTCAGAAACCACACATCCTCAGTTTGGATGTGGAATCCAGTCGCTGCAAACTCCCTCAGAGACCCAATCAGAGGCAGATTAGCGGCCTGGGGGGGGGATTGAGGAGGCAGATCAGGGATTTGAACATGTAGCTACAGATTTTAGCTTGTTTAAGGCGCTTTAATGACGATGATGATGGTGATGATGAGGATGATGAGGATGAGCTCAGCCCCCCCACGCTGGCTTTGCTTGGACCAGCTGAAATGGGGTGTTTGCTGATGAAAGGTCAGGAAGTCCCTTAATCTCAGATTAAAGGGACAAAATGTTGTTTTTTGGAAGTTAAATTGTGTTAAATTGTACAAAACAAGAAATTTAAATTCACAGTTATTTATTCATTAAAATGAGACCGTTATGGAATAAAACTGAAAACGTCTCATGTGGCTGATGGATCAGACTCAGTCCTACTCGTCTGTGATTAATATAACGGCTGAAAGACGGTCAGTTAAGGCAGAACCTTCCATCACTAAATGTGTTGCTGTAGTCGTGTTAAAGACCTGTGGATGTGAAGAGACGAGAGGACGTCACCACTGATGCAGATAAATGTGTGAAAACGAGATGCTCAACACATCTGTATCTGAAAATGACCATCATGAACAATAATAACGATTTTGTGCTTAAAATAATTAAACAAATAGCACTACGCTCCTTATTATATCTTTTCTTTTGTATCCACATGATACAAAATGCAATTTGATTAGTTAATCCCAAAATGTGTTATGGTGTCCCACAGAATGTCCTAGACTTGAGACTAAACTAAAAACGAATTAATTATTGTTAATTATTGATAATTAATGTAAAATACATGAAATCCTTCAATAATAATGCTGATGCAGCACCTGATTCTCACTTATGTTACTGAAACAAAACTTTATTTCATGCTTTGAGAAATATAATCATGTTTTTCATTAAACAAAAGAATCCAAAGTTATATGATAAATGATAAATGTTAAATGTTAAATGATAAATAAATGATAAA